TATGTCTTCAAGATTTCTTCCTACATTTTCCACCAGAAAATTCAGTGTTTCTGCTTTCAAATTTAAATCCTTGAACCTTTTTGATTGTAGCACTGTGCATGGTGATAAGAATGGTTCTAATTTTTGCTTCTGGCGTGTGGATAGCCCGTTTTTCCACCACTACTTATTAAAGATGGTAGTGCTCTTCCACTGGAAATGATAGGTCCTTTTATCAAAGATAAGGTGGCTGAGTGTGTTTGCAGCTTTGTCTGCATCTTCTAATGTGTTCCATTGATCCTCAGATCTATCTCTGTGTGAGTAGAATGCTGATTTATTACAGTAGCTTTACAGTCTAATTTTGGGTCAGGGATTGTGATATCTCCTGGCTTTCCTTTGTTTTCCAGGATTGCATTTGATATTCTAGTTCTCTAGATGAATTTGAGGAAAGTCCTCACTAGTTCTGTGATTTATGCTAATGCTATTTTGATCAGTATTGTGTTGACTCTGTCTAACAATTTTTGGAATGTGGCCATCTTCACAATGTTGGTTCTTCCTGACCATGAGCATGAAATATCTTTCCATATTCTCAAATCCTCTTCAATCACTTTTCTCAGAGTAGTGTAATTTTCACTGTATAGAATGTCTGTCTCCTTTGTGATCACTATCACATTCCTATATATTTCTTTTCTTTTTCTTTTTTTTTTTGGGGGGGCGTGTGAATGTGGAAGGTGTGATTTCCCTAATGTCTTTCTCAGTGAGCTCATTGTGTAGAAACATGCTACTGATTTTTAGGTGTTATGCTTATATCATTCTATGTTACTGAAATTGCAGAATGAATCTACAAAACTTTTGGTGAAGATTTTGGGGGCATTGTGTGGGGTTTCATATCATCTGTGTATGATGACAATTTCACTTCTTTTTTTCCAATCCTTATTCCTTTTCTTTCTCCCTCTTGTCTAATTGATCTGTCTAATGTTTCTATATCTATATTGAGTGGGAGTAGACATAGTGCATATCTTTGTCTTGTTCCTGATTTTAAAGAGAAGTCTTTCAGTATTTTCCATTAAGTATAATGTTGGCTGTTGGTTTCTAATAGATGGTTTTATTATCTTCAGATATAGCATATCTATTACAGTTCTGTGTAGGTTTTTAATTTTTTCTATAATTTTATTGATAAATAGCAATGATACAGTTTCAAATAAAATTGGTAGGATTGTTTTAATAATTAATATGTTTTTATTTTTATTAAAAATGAGTATTGGGCTCAGTCAAAAACTTTTCCTACATCTTTTGAGACAATCATAGATTTTTGTTCTTGGATCTATTTTCATGGTGTATTACATTTATGGATTTGTGCATACTGAATCATCCCTTAATTCTATTTTGTTCTAAGCAAGACATCTTGGACTGAGTTGCCATTGCTTGAACCAGGAAACACTCCCATCCCTCTTTTCTGTGTGACAGGATATTCCAGCCCATAAAAAGACACAATAAGGAGAATAGGTTGACTTCTTTGTTCCTCCCTCTGGGACCATCAGGAACCCTGTACCTATAAAATCTGTAGTTATATCCTAAATATACTTGTGGGATATTCTGGACTCCATGTCAGATGTTGTCTGTGAGATAATAAACCTTATTTGTATCTCCTCACCCGCCCTGGGTAAATCTTCCAGTTTCACTGCAGCAAAGTGAAAACTATCTTGCTACATGTGGTATCCAAACCTTAACTTCATGTATAAATTATGCATAATGAGGTTGCCATCATAAATGTTAACTCAATAATTTCATGTGATCTGTGGAATTGCGTAACCATCCCTTGCTTTTCCTCTTAGGATAATGTCACCTCCCCACATTCTCAGAAGTCATTTTGCAGGCACAGCCCTCATCCCTGCTCACAACAAGTGGGATTCAGTAAAGCAAAGAGGCAAAAGTCTCATCAAAGTGAAATTACTATTAGCCTAGGAATTTATGAAGCAGATCACTGTGTTTATTTTTCAGAGATCTAAAGGAGTGATTTTACTAGAAGGACATTGTTTGGGAGAACTTAATACTGGTGGATATTTCTTGCTGTCCTTGATTTGACTTCTCTGTGCAGGTAACTGGTATTTACAGCCTGTGTGGTGAGCTCAGAGGAAGAAGGTGGTAGAAAAATGCATGACTAGAAAGAGAGATAGATAATTTTCAGGGAGTGTTTTATTAGAGTTGAGACCTTTACCATTTTTAATTTTTCACAAATTTGTTTGGAAGAAAGTGACATTAAGTGAGTGCAACACTCTTCATTCCTCTTTTTGGGCCTGCTACAGTCTTAGTCTATTTGCATTTATCTTACCTCATTGGTAATGTGAGTCTCAGACCTTATCTCTCTGAGGAACTTCCCTGCTTCCTTTTTGCAGAATCCCTCAGGGGTGTGAACTGTGTGTTTCTATTTTGTGAGGATTCCACTTAAAAGCTGATTTGGAGTGTATTGTACATGTCCCATACAGGAGCCTGAGCTGAGTCTAATTTCTTAGAAATGAGAACTGAAGGAGCAGGGTGAAGAAAGAGTGTCAGCACATCTGGAGGGCAAGAATAGTCCAGAATGGACAAGGCCATAGTGGACCAGTTGGAGACTGAAGAGATGAAGATAAAAATTTTGCATCCAGAAAATTCAGGAGAAGCCCCAGAATGCCTCCCTGGCTCAAACTCTTTTAGAGTCACCTGAACTGAGCAGAGTAGAATGAAAGAGAAATGTATTCCAGTGGATTTGTCCATCTCTTCAAGATGCTCCAGTTTGTGGACATAAAGCAGGTTTATATTGCCTACAGGGTCCTACTCCAAGCGAGGGATGTTATGATTATGAGACTTTGTTCAAGATATCGGGGCTTTGAAATGGAAATTACCCTCAAAATAAATGCCTGTAAAGTGAATATGAGCTCAGAGGGAATAAAGAAGACTTAGAGAGTTGATAACCCCTGTTTCGGCCAAGGGAGATAGCTTAGTGGCATAAGCACATGCCTGGCAAGCACAAGGTTCTGAGTTCATTCCCTGGTATGGAAAAACAAAAACAAAAACAACAATAACAAAAAATACAACTATTGGCATGTTTAGTAGTTCTGCTCTAATTGATGGAGGGAATTCAAGGATAGTGGACTTGTCCTTAATAACTAGCCACTTTTGCCCTTTTCTGCTCTCTGCTGAGGAAAGTTTGCATGCAGCCAGAATTTCTCACATGTTTGCTAATAATAACTTTTTTTCTTATACTTTGTTTAAAATGCATGAGACTTTAAGCATCAGTGAGGGTTCAGTGGAGGAACAAAAGTCATGACATGATTAACATAAATCATTTTCAATATCATACAGTAAGTGCCCTCAAGAAAGGGCCCCTCTAGGCACAAAATGTAGGCACACATTTCAGGGACCATGTTCTTCATGACAAGGTGACCTAGCATTGGAAAATCTGAGGACAGTCACCTTTTACTTGATGCTCACAGGTGGAAGGAATGTCAAAAGGCTTGGATGGCTTGTGGAGGCCATCTGTTTTTTCTGGGGGAATGATAGCATCTCTGAGCAGATGTTGGACAGACACAAAATTGTGATCATCAGAGGTTAGATACTTCTGTGCATTCACTGAATGAACACTTCTGAGAGTCTGCCCAGTGTTTGATCGTTAGTTGGAAACTGTGCATAGAGACAAGTAAAGCATCTCTGCAGCATTCAAGGGCTCTGAGTCTCAGTGACCAGAGCCTCCTTCAGAGTGAGTTTCAACACATTTATGGAAGTAGCCAGGGCTGTGTAGGAATACATCAATGTTTGTGTTGATTTTCCTTTTTTCTTCCTTCTAACAGCTTGATGACCAGGATAATACTGCCTTACTGCTCTGAATAATACCAGTTTTTAGCCATACACGATGGTGCCTGCCTATATCCCTTCACTTGGGAGGCTAAAGCAGGAGAATCACTTGGAGTTCGAGGTCAGCCTGGGCTGTTTAAAGATTTGATGAATAGTCTGAACTATAGAGTGAACCCTGCCTCAAGAAAAAAAGAAAATAAATGAAAGAAAAGAAAAAGAAAACTTATAGAATTGAAAAAAAGTAGAAGAAAGAAAAAGTAAGGAGAAATCCAAGTTGGTGATGGCAAGGTGGGGTCAAAGTGTGAAAATGAAACTGATGACTTCAGGACTCCATTTTCTAGACAGCCAGAGAGATGAAGAGGCAAATATAAAAGATGTGTAAGTTTATGATTGCCACATTTATCATGAAATTCTCAACTCTGTGATCAATGCTTTCCAAACTTCATTAGTTTTTCCCTTTATGAAAGCAAATTAAATTGTATTCATATTTTAGGCATGCAGTGGTTGTAATTTTGTCCTCAAATATCAGGTTTAATTGGGTAGAAAAAATTAAATAGTATTTTGTATTTTTACAATTATAATGATTTTACAGTTTTCACTTAAAAAAACCTTAAAATGTACTTTACTGATAAAGTGTTGATATGTCTTCTAGACAGTGCTAAGGAAAACAAAATATGTCTGGAAATGGTTTCTTCTATGATGCCCTTATACATATATAAGAATGAGCACTGTGAAAAATGTGTTGGTGTTTGGGAAAGAGGCCAATAGTTGTTGGCCCAAGGGGACACATCATTAAGACTCTGAAATAAGTATTTGTCACCAGTTGTCTTCTGATAAAAAAGCCTCAGTATTTTGTGTACCTGCATGACTGAGGCTGCTGGATGCGTGGGGCTCACGGCAGGCCATGACATCACCACGTTCTATTACCGTGGCAGCAATTGCCAACATTACCTGCTTTGCTGGAGCTTGAACTACACGCAGTGCCTTTGGCTCTGGTCATTGATACTTATTTTTAAGTTTAATAATTCTCAAGTGTTCTTGGTGTTGTTCATCTCAACAGTAAGTGAATAAGTATAGTTTTATCATGCCACAGACCTCATCCAACCTGCTTGATTTCATTTGATTTGAACCTATCCTGTGTTTAGGTTGTGTCCACAGTCTCTGGCTCTACCTGTTCCAATGCATCCATCATCATGGGAATACACATTGGGCCTTCTTGTCATGCAAAGGCTCAACTGAGTATCTCAGACCCTGAACAGGAATTACGATCACAGCTGGAGGAGAGTAACAAGAAGTATCATGAACTCAAAGAACGTTTTCTTGTGTCTGAAGCTACTGTCTATTCCATGGCTAATGAGCTGAAAAAGCACAGTAAGTTCAATGGTTCATAATCCCCAAAGTGATGAATGAGAGTATTTACTATGGGAAAGCAACATTTCTCCAAATTTAATGTTGTTCCCATGTTCCCAGAATGTCAGATGTTTATTTTTGTCCTTCAGTTAAATATGATGCAAAAACTGTAGCTCCCAAGCTTTCACCAAATTCTCTCTTATTCTCTTATTGTTTGGACAGGGTCTCCTTATGTTGTCGAGTGTGGTCTTGAACAAACTATGCAGCCCTGATAACCTCATAGTAATCCTATTGTGCCACCTGAGATTTCTCTTATAGTGAAGTGTAGGGTAAA